AGCCGTTACTGTTGTTTTGCTTGTTGATTATTAATATTTTGCTCTTGTTTCTTGGCTACTTTTGTCGCTTTGGTTGGTTGATTTACTGGATCTGGTATGATTACAATCTAACTAGACAGTTGACGTCCTTCACATTAAGTACGTTCGGTCGTATACATTCACACAAATTTATAAACATACACACACACATACTTGTACCTTATTTTGCAGACCAGAGAATGAGAGTGAGAGCAAGAGAGTATGATATATACATGAATTGGTCGTTGGTATTCAACTCGCTTCGAAATTACGTGCATATTTGGCCTAATCAATATGTTCAAACACTCAGTTTGTTACAATTTATTATGATTATTTCCAAATACACAATTTCTTGAATCGGATACATTTTATACTTTAGGTGACGTTCATATTTTCAAATATACCACTTTTCTTTCCTTCGACACATTGAAGAAAAAAAAACACAAAAATACGCTCACAGTGATATGAAAATGTTACATTTTTCTTGTGCGCTTTTGTTTTCAGTGCACACACTCTTTCAATCGCATCTCACACAATCAAAACAAGCACAGTCCAATTCAAGAGCTCAAACAAGTAAAATTTGCTTCATTTTTATGCGATTTTTTTTTGCCCAGCTATTCCAATACGATTCATTCAAACCAATTGCATTGGCAAATCCATGGAACACACACTATGACCGAATACGAAACATTTGATTTTAACAGCCAATCTATCGAAATCATGGCGCAGATGCAATTATTTATTTATTGAGTATTAATAAAATCTGCAATTTCAAAATGGCTTTTTTATAAACACGCCGAGAGAGAGAGAAAGAGAGAGAGAAACACGAACAAAAAAATCTGTACAAATCCGCATTTCAATTAAAATCTCATCAAATGCACTCGACACATGCGCCTTTTCTCTACCTGTATCATCCAAATGTGGAGACAGAGCTCAACACCACTTAAAATCCGAATATTGTCACCTCATCCATATGGAAAACACATACACATGCTGGAAGAAAAAAATAAAATGAAATAAAAGCAAAAGTACACTGAGAGACTTGTACGAAATTGAATGAAATTTCTCGCGAGCGCTCACCATTCAAATGGCAGGAACACATTAAGCGATAATAATAGCAATCGACTAATGAAAGATTGAGTGAATGATTGTGAGTGTATAGTAAGTAAGTTAGAGATACCATGTGTATAGACACGATTGAAAGGCGAGCAAATTCTGTGTCAATGATTTCCTGAATGTGAATGGCGAATAATGAATAACTAGTGTTGCTTTTAAAGAGTTGCATTTGCAATTGTTCGCAATATCCACATTGCCTCCATCACGTACACGTAAATTGTTGGCATGCTCATGAACCAATTTTATCAATTTGAAATATGGTGTGCAATGCGCTGCAATGATGTTCGACAATGTATGATCTCCACATCTCTCTTTCTCGTTTGCTGTCTCTTTTGTGAGTTTGGGTTCGAGAGCGTTTTTTCTTCTTCTTCTTCTTTTTATGTTCTGTAGCATCGATCCAAATTTAGTGTGTGCCTTCAAAGTGGCCGCATAAACATACAACTGCTGCAAGCAATCCAAAATCACAAAATTTGATATGTGTGCTATATGGAAGCATAGAGCGTGAGAGAAAGAGCGCCTTGCGATGCCTATGAAGTTTAAACGATGAAAAAAAAAGATACTCACTGAGAGATTCATTTAAAACGACACTCAATAAAGTGAGTTTCCGAGGCGGCTTCAGTTTAGGCATGCAATCGTTTTGAAAATATGTCGTGCAAATGAAACAAATCCACACATGGTACATTAAGTGTTTACGTTTCTTACATAATCGCAATTTTTTCCGAAATTAAAATAGAAGAGAAAAACAACAGCAACATAAATGCGAAAATGATCACTTTTATGCAATTTCCACATATAGTATATACCCCATATAGATGCGTGGGTTAGGATTTAAATCATATACTTAATAAATAATCTCAAACCGACAATTTATCATTTTCTTTTCATTTGCAATATTGTTGAAATGAAGTTTTCGCAAAACATGTTTTCCATGCTTTGAGTGCAAGATAGAAGTTTTATTTAAAGAAAAATTGTAGCACACGGCTTTTTTTCGGCTATTTAATGTACGGAGAAATTGCAAATATTTCATGTGAACACCTAATTTGCTGCCGCCTCAAGACTCGATTGACAGCAAAACGTGTGTGTTTTCACCAATATCGGGGTACGCATTTCCTAGCACAAATCATCTTTGACGCCTTGTGCAACTCTAATTGATTCGTATAAATGTTCGTTTCTCATGTGGGGTGGATATTATAAATTTTGGCACCGTCGATGCTATGCCGATTTGAATTGAAATAAAAATATGATGGGCAATATTTCTGGAACCAATGAAATTTAATTACAAATGCTTCATTTACGTTAGAAAATGTTTAATGGCCTCATGAGGTGCTAAAAATAAACGACACAAATGTCAGCAATGTCATGCTTGCGCGCAAAAGCAATTCAAAACACATATATTCGAAAAAATAAATAATGTTCTGGATAATGAGCTGTGCGCAGATGACTCTGTATAACCGGAATTCAATGCTTGATCAAAATAAACATTTCATGCTCTCAATACATCAGCTGCAACAGCAGTAGTAATTGTAGTGACAGCACGCAGCAGTAGCATAAGTATGTTTGCAATTGAAGGCGAAAAATCACTGAAACGAAAATATGAATGATCTCTCGTTCACCAAAGTAAAATAAAAAAAAATTGACAAATGGAAAACCGGCAATTGGAAAATTACTTGATATGAATGCAAAACCATACAAACAAAAATGGTTTCGCTTTTTTTGCTGCTACTGCTTCTTCTTTTTCTCTAATTTGAAAGATTCGAATCGGGAAACGAAATTGCTAATTTTTCTCAAACAACTTCTACCATAGCAATACACCAGCGAAAACCAGCTGCTAATTTAAAAGACATAAAAATCTGTATGTGTGATATACTTTCACTTCAATCTAGCTACTCTTTCAATGTGTGATTTGTGTGCGCACTCATTCGCTCGTTGTCTTTTGTTCAGCACACAAACGAATCGACACAAGTCAAATTGCGTGCTGAAGAGAAAAATAAGATGAAGAAAAACACACACCCGACAACATCAACACACGAATTGTTGCATTACAATGTATGTATACGATTGGAAGATTGTTGACAGCAAGATGGAATTTCTATGAGCAACATCCATAAACTGTGCTTTTTTTTATTTGAGATCAGTTGACGATAATTGTTCATTTGATTTCCCCACCGGTAGGCAAATGATCGATTCTATTTCACCGGCGAATAGAGTTAGTGCGAACGCACATATGCGCTTGATTTGTCTACTCTCGATGGAATTATTCTCGCAATAGTGTGAGTTTGTGTGTGTTTTTTTCACTGTATGTCATTTTTACCTTTCTATAAGCGTGATAAATGATAAACTGTCTGTAGCTGTGAAATGATTTGTGTGCAGTCTGTGACGAACGTGAATCTTGATTTTTGTTTTGCCATTTTTAATAATTCATTCCGGCTAATTGCTTGGCTTCTTTTTCTTACGTATGCTATTTGCTTCTGAACTTTTAATAGTTAGGGAAATGACAAATTGACTGTCAAATCGAAACGCCAAAGTAATCGGAAAGGCCGGAATTATTGAACTGGCGCAAAATACGCATTTTTTTTCGTTCGCATCATCATCAACACATGCTTGTGTGCACTGTTGTGGTCGGCTTTTGGATGTCGACCTTCAGCTCACCGCCGAATGCATAACAATAAATCGAAACTGATATGGCGCACATTTCCAACTAAATGGCCGACCACTTCCAATTTCATCCACAAATTTACATCGAACGTACATTAGAGCGGTATTGTGACAGCTGACCGGTTTAAAATAGCAATAATTACATTGTGGCCGCACATCGTATACTCGTTTTTAACGCAACGCACATCGATAAACCGTTTTTTTTTTTCTTCTTCTACTTTTATTGGAATTCATTTTGCCATCATCCATTGACGGTAAACCATCAATTTTCAATATTCATTCTTTATTTATGTGATTGGACGGCCAAATTAAATCCATATCAACCTAAACAATTCTTCTTTTTTCTTGTTTGCTTGAAATTTTATGCAAATATAGTTATTTTCGTGTTGAAACCTTGAACCATTCACATCGATCTTCAAAATCGATGTGGGTGATTCCTGTATTCTCAATTCTTCTTTTTTCCTACATCGTCAAAACCGAATAGAATAAGAGAAGAAAAAAACCAAATTGTTCATGGTTTTAAATTTCAGTGCATTTTAAAAATTCTCGTTAATCGTCGCCCAGTTAAATTGATTCACAAGTGCATTAAAAACGGCTGCAGGTTTCCAATTGTTTTGTTTTTTCCTATCCGCCAGTCGATGCGGAAGAATTCGAGTTTTTGACCACTTCAGATCTGGATTTTCAAGAATCAAAAACTGTTTCAACATATATCAATTATTTCGATCAAATTATTTTCATATGCAATATAAAAAGTAACCATAAAAGTGATCAATAAAGTTATTATAGAATGGTACAGGAAGCTAAAGTCAGTATCCGCATGCCACTGCTAGCCGAAGAGAAATAATGAAGACAATGATCGAAGCAGTGTGAAAAGATCATGTGAGTCGGTGTGCCAATTAAAGTTCATTTACGTGAAACTGTATGCAAACTAAAAAGTGTTCCGAACATTAAAACACCAAATATATAAGTTTTGTATATTTATTGAACCAAGGTCTTCAACGCAATGTCTCCAATCACGAAGCGAAAAAAAATATTTTGTTTATCGTCTTATTATATGGTTATTTCTTTTTTTTTTCGTTTTGTGAATGTCAACTTTGGATTTTGAACATATGTTATTTGAAAATGCACTAATAAGTACTAAGTTATAAGTTCGGCCATCAATCGTTTGGATCTATTTCGTGGTGGTATATATTTTTTTTATTTCTTTACAGATATTGGGAAATGAGAAGTGACATGCGATGGCTGTTATTATTAACAGGTGAGTCAAAACAGTAATTTGTTGCTTTTTTTTTCATTTCACATCATTCTCGTTTCGCACGTGAGCACAAGAGATGTGATAATGTTTGATCATGTGTATATCGCGAGGACAAATCACAAATCGAATCCGTTTCTTGAAAATGAGAGCAATAAAAAAGAGTTTAACCTAGATTTGGAGATGCAAGCAGTCAATTTGCGTGACTGGTTAAAGGTATATCAATGCAGTAAGGCAATCAAAGTTTCACGAAAATAGATTCGATGCTCTTTACGCGATTATAAAACAGCATTTGGCGCATTTCTACTGCAAAATCAAAATACATGCGACATTTGCATTTTATTGTTTGGATCTTCAAGAGAATTTTATGATGTGTTTTGGCTTTAAATGTCACTCTTTTTTGTATCGTTTTGTTGCTCTAATACCATCGCTTTTCCAATAATTATGTCATTTCTTTTCTATCTCTCTTTTCAATGTGTTCAGCCATAATCGGAATCGTAGGATGTGCTGATGCACTTAAAGCAACTTCATTGATATTCGGTAGATCAAATGCAAATAAAACAACAGCCTCCACAACAACGACGACCACATCGACAACGGTGACCACAATCGATGCAGATTCATTAAACGATGATGAGGTGAGTATTCTAAAAAGAAATCAAATCATATAATGCCTTAAATTTCATCCATTCATCGATCAGAGTCGAATATCTACACCAATGACCTTTATCAGACAATTTATGTCAATATAGAAATTATAATTTTATCCAATTTGAATGATTATTAATCATGGGTTTCATCTTTGTATGCCGCCGAGTAAATGTCAGTACAATAACATGATTTTTAGCAGAAGAAAAAATGTGATCGGTATAGCTTCTAAACAAGATTAGATATCATGTATAAGATAGTATTGTTGAATGTGAATTGCATGAAACAGAGGTCGACAATGAACTAATTACATACACCATATATTTTGCTTTTGCGATGATATTTCGCTATTTTTCGATTCCTTATACAGTTTTTTTCGTCTTCTTTTTTCTCGTGAACATAAGACTAAGATAACTTTCATTGGGCAAGACGATAGTTCCGCAAAATTATTTTGGAGTGCATTCCAAAAAAGTGTTTGTGGTTTGATTATGTAAAAAGTTCCGATGTGCATTAAATATTGTCATTCATATTTTTCAGTTCGGTTTATATAAATTTCGGTTAAAACAAAACAACAGCCAAAATTATGTCGATAGAGAGATTAAGCAAATCAAGCGTACACAAATAAAATAATTGGTGTAATTCTGTTGGTTTTTTTTTCGTTTCTCTCTGTGTGTGCACTAAATGTACTTTCACTATTACTCTGGGTAATCTTTTTTTTTTCTCGAAAAAAATGCTGCAATGGTAATCGTAGTTTAAAACTAGAAAAAAAAAGTAATTTCGAAAGTCGAGCAATCAACATTGGCCATTTTGAGATAGTAAATTAGCAGTATTATGATCATTATCGATTTCTGGTTACAATGTTTCAATAATTTTTTTTTGAACCAATTCAAATATCACGTTTGAATTGCCATCAACGGGATTTTACTAAAATCGAAGTCGATCAAATCATTTAAAGTAGTTCGAATCTATTTCTCTCCTCCCGACTCACTCTCAATTGCATCGGCATGTCAAAATATGATTTAGTTATCAAAAGGGGAAAAACACGGAACCAATTGCAAATATTTCCGGTCTTTTTTCATGACTCCTTTTGCCGTTCAACAGTAAATTTCTGCACAAATAGAAGAAGTCTGAGATATCATTATGTATCTTCTAAAAAAAAAATCTCTCTATCGAGAAAGTAAAGGGAAACAATTGATTTTCTCACTCTTTCATCGCATCGATTCTATGAAATTATATTAATGGATCGTGAGCGAACAAATTGAAATTTAATTCGGCCCATTGAGTCTTTAAGACATTTTAGAAGGAGAAACATATGAAAACTACTCAATGATGCGCATAAAGTTTCGCTCACTTTGTAAATATTGCCACAATGTGCAATTAATCAACGACTGAACTATCGAATCGAATCTGTTATTACTAACGATTTCATATTATTGTGTGAATCACAAATTGGTACGTGACTGCGTTACAAATCGCTTCCGCAACAATTCTCATTGTCAAAAAGTTCATCATTTCGCGCTATAAATTAGAGAGGTGAAACATTTGCAAGAAAAAAATTGAAGTAAATGAAACGGTTACTCTGTTGATCTAGATCGATTCTCAACGTGTGTCTAGCTTCATTTCATGATGCGTTCATAAGGCACTTTTTTATCCGTAAAAGTGAGTTTAATCAAAATTACTATTTCTCTGAAATTAATGAGAAGCACTACTATAATTCGCCATGAGCATTAATCGATTATTACGAAACGGTGTGCTGAAGACGTTTATATATAAATATTATTATTTTTTTCGTTTGCTTTAAAATGCTGCTTCAACGGCATTAAATAATCTAAGTCCATCGAACAAGGGGAGTCATATGTGTGTGTTGAAAAGAGACAACCTCACAGCAAACAAAAGATAGAGTAAACGAAAAGTAAAATTTCAAAACCGGAACATAATGTTATTAATTACATTGATAACATGCTCACAAGATACATACGTATAGAGAGAGAGAGAGACACATGCAAAAGTGTGTTCGAATGAATTAAAAAGCAAGCGCCCGGTTCGATTACGGTGCACGATGTGTCAATTTTGCCAGAGAGTGCCAATGTACGGCCTCTGTGTTTGCAAGCGCGCGCACACACTACACACATACACAATATGCCATGAACCAATTACAATGTATTTCAATTAATGAAGTGCTGGGGTTTTAGCACAAATGCAACGATTTTTCGGTTTCGATTTTATTTTAGAAATATATGCCACTAGTCACAGCGGTTACTGTGGTTGCTGTTGATGCTGTCATGTGCTCACCGCTAAATACTCTATGACGTTGTCGCCGTTTTCGTTGTCAGTATTATATTCGCCGTTAATTTACATAACTAAAAAAAACTAAATAACCAAAGCTTGTGCTATTTTTCTTTTTTTTTTCTCATTTTAATTTTTTTTTTTATTGATTACCTAATCGATTTTATCACAATTTATGTATTTCTCCTACAAGCGATGGCTGTATGGGTTTTCTTGTCACTCTAATTGTATGACGATGCACTTTCGAGTCATTGATACTTTCTTTGTCAATTATTGAGATTTAATTACAACATTGTAGCATTTAGAAAACTGAATATCCACACAGAAAACCAGAGCGTAACTCGTTTTTTATTTGCTCAATCTTCAGAAAATAAAAACGTTTCGAGCATTTTACTCTTTTTTGTTGTTGACTTTTCTCTTCTTCGTTCATTTATTCAATTTTAAAGTGGGCATGTTTGATTCTTGATGTTGCAACGATGGAGCCAAATTAATATCTGTGATATGGCTATGAATGATCGAGAATCAGCTGTACTAAAGCAAACTGCACTCGAACAAGATGTGTGTTGACTTGCGACAACATTTCATTCGAAATTGCATAATTTATTAATATTCCGCATTGATGAGTGTGGTTGGATGGTTGGCTGGCACGTTTTCGATGAAGATCAAATGTAAAATAATTGTAGGAACTTGGGCCATGCCACCAACGTGTCATATTACAAAGAGCATCACGTACTCGATACGAGTGTCATAAATACCAGGGCTTAGGTTTGTGTCTTTTATGTGGTGTACTTGCAATAATTTGTTTCTATACGGTTTTATTTTATTTTCTTCTTTTGTCGCTGGTTAAAACGCAACGGCCAATGGCTTTATAGGTATAATGAAACCAGCACACAAATCCAACCATGCCATTTATTAATGTTATTTAATAAAATAAATTTGTGATTTTCGTCGTTTTTTCTTCTTTTTCTTTTTCTTAAGTCATTGCTTTTTGTGACTGGTCTCACGACACTATAGAAGCTACTATTGCTCCCGCAGTATGCAAGAAGAATACTGAATATCTCACAATGCTGTAATATTTGACATGTAAATAATGTTCGTAGCGTTGTTTCTTTTTTTTCGATGATGGAAAAGCAATTGCGCTTTCCAAACGCGCGTGCTATAACTTATTCTAGCCCATAAATCCAATTACGTTCGTTTGCTTTCAACAAATATATTTTAAATAACAATTGTCGTTTTGCAATTTGTTTATTTTTATTTTTATTTCCTTTATATTCCATTCGAATCAGATGGAATTGAAACGATTAGAAAACAGAAATAACTTCGATCATATTCAATTATTTACGACTCTCGTTGGGAAAACATTCCCATTGCATTTCATCAATTTGTTCATAAATAAAAACAGAACAATTTGTTTGTCTGTCTTTTATTTTACTGGCATATTTATTCTTCGTAAAGTCAAGCACAACACGAAAATATGTGCGCAATACACAAGTGCCGTTGTTGATCGACTATGATGATTGCGCTAACTGAAAATTAATTAGTATGCAAAATGACCATCGTCACACGATTGCAAGTGGCATTTCTTTAAAAGAAAAAAAAAGACAGAAAATCAAAAAAAAGCATCGAACGGTAGAAGAAATGGTAGATATGTAAGCGTACAACATTTTTTGAATGTTTGAATAGGTAACGCATCGTAAACAGCATACACAATGGGCAACTTGAGGCGCGCACACACATACTCATATTGCCAGTGGACGAAAAAAAAAATGAACCGAAAAGAAGAGAAAAGTTAACAAATAATAAAAAAGATTGCAATAACGAAGCGATTGGCCAAGCGTCATATATAAATACAGGTATTTTGATTGCAGCGAACCAGTTCGAAAGAGACAGAAGCTAAAGAATTTTAATGAAATCAAAATATAAAAATTGTAAATATGTTTGTACAATGGTATGGTGGCTGAACGGTGAACATGCACAAAATATATTTTAATAATTGTGCATTGGCACAACTTGAGGCCGCCAAGTGCACACACTGACCACTTTGATGAGAATCAAAGTTAAATTATTTTATAATTCCTATTGTGTGTCCATATTTTGCAATAATATTCATTATTGTAAATTTTTTTGTGTTGGGTGTATTTCTATTTTTATTTTATTTAATTGATGAGACAAAAGAAAAACGAAATACAAAAATTCCATTTTAATTGAACGACAATTGCAAAATAATGTAGAAAATGCAAATGCTAAATGTTTTTGTTTCTTTTCTTTCTTGAATCTCATGTTCATCGAACAGAAAAAAGATGATGGTGAACCAACCGAGGAAGAAGCGACCAAACCACCATTAACCGGAATACCACAGATTGATTACATTTGGGATCCAAACTTACCAAGAGAACTCAATGGGTAAGTATTTCACTCAGTGAAATGTATACTTATAACCTTGATTGATTGTTTCTTGGTTTTTTTTTCTTTTTTTTTTAATTTTGCACAGATACAATCTGTCAACGTATCCGTTCTTGAACTCCGTTCCCGACAGTGATGACATTGATTTCAAGTGTGATGGTCTGCACGACGGTTTCTATGCTTCCATCAAATATAGTTGTCAAGTATGTTTGCTTTTGAAATTTGAAATAAGACGTGCTCAATCAAATGTTACATAATTTCGTTTAGCTTTATCATCATTGTGTTTATGGGATTCGTCACGATTTCTTATGTGCCAACTTTACTGCTTTCGATCAAAAATCATTCATCTGTCACTTTGTCTCAGAGGTGAATTGTAAAGCATCTGCCAAATATTGGTTTAGGTAATTTTTGTGTTTGAACATTTTTTTTTGTCATTTCTTTATCGATATTCAATAAGAACGTTCCGTTAATTCTTCATTTTAGAAATGATGCTTTGTACAAGGCGACAACAACTACATCGACCACAACAACAACCATTGCGCCGCCATCAACAACAAGCCAAGCACCTGAACGACGTCGACCTGAAGCAAGACGACCAACTCGTAGAAGGCGACCACAACATGAATACTACTATGATGACGAAGACTATGACGATGATTACGTTGAGGAGAGAATGAACCGGAGGTTTGTGTTAATTAATTTTTGACGATTTTTTTAAAATTAAAAATGATATGAATTAAAATTCGTCTGTGAAAAATAAACTTTCAAAATCAAAAACAAATGATTTCGAATGCGAATGAAAAACTATAAAATTATTCAAGAAAAATGCAAATTTATTTTCATGAAAACAAAAAAAAAAATAAATAAATGATAAGATGCCAAAAACTCAATTAAAGTTTATAAATTATTTATTTTAATCAAAATACAGACGCAAAGCAAATCGAAATCGAAATCGTCGACCATCGGAGTATGATGATGAATATGATAACCCACCTCGAGCCAACTATAAAGATGATGAGGATGATTATTCGTATGAACAGCGTTCATCGTATCGTCATCGAAATCGTGATGATGATTTTGAATACGATCGACGAAGCTATCGGAATCGAAAGCGACCGAATGAAAATAAACGTCATTATGACGATGATCGGCGTACCGATGATATCGAAGAGCGTCGACCACATTCAGATAATCGAAAACATCCTCATGATCCAGCCGAAAGTGGTAAACGCAAATTCAATGATCGCCGTACATCACTGAATGATGATCGAAAGACATACAACAATGATGAAAAGAATTCGTATGACGATCGACGTTCGTTGAGCGAAGATGATCGTGGTCATTTAGACGATAGACGATCAACACATGATGAACGTCGAAAAATGAATGATGAACGTCGTACAACGTCGGTTGATGATGATCGTAGAAGTTCAGTGGATGAAGGTAGACGAAATACGCATGATAAACGACGACCAAATTCGGATCGATCTAGACCACAATACGATGATGAATATGAAGACTATCCGAAAAAACAAAATCCACGTGAAGATGACTATGATGATCGATCATATAAGCGGCCGTTGCACGATAACAAATCGGAAATTGTGCCAAAAGTACGATCTTCAAGTGCAGCTGCATCGATATTCAATCGACCGCGTACACCACCGAAAATCAATCGACCCGTTCCAACAAATGAACGGAAAAAATACGAATATGTACCACAAAAATCCACCGACAAATCAACAGTGACCACACCAATAGCCGACGATGAAATCTACGATGATTATGACTATGAAGCGGAAAAAGCGCAAATTGATATAAAACATAAAACGGCCGATATGAAAAAGAGCAATCCGGCTCCTTCTAGTCAACGTGATCAACGGCCATCTACACCGCTCAAACAAGAAAAACTTCCAACAAACTTCAACACCGATGAATTGGAAGATGTAGAGTTCGATGTCAAAGAAAAAGTAACATCAATCAAACCACAACGTTCAACATTACCAAAAGTTGAGGCAATGCAACACCAACACCAACACCAACAACCACAATCACAATTGCAACATCAATCGCAGCGTCCAATCAAAACGCAGGAATATTATGAAAAACCAAAAGAAGTTACGGTCAAATCGAATGTAAGACCCGCATTGGATTTCAATAAAGATGAATATATTCCCGATTCAGATTTGGCCGATTATCCGGACGAAGAGATCGACGATAGATCAACAAAAGTTGAAGATGTTCGACAACAACCCGAAACGATACCAACACGAACTGATTTTCGGTCAAATGTACCAGTACAAGAGCATCAAGAAATGATAAAACCATTACATCAAGATGATGTTCAAACGAAAATTCCATACTCACCACCACAATCGCAACAAGATTTACAATTCAAAACCAAATTTCATCGTTTATCGAATGTTCGAACGGCCGATGATACCTTCCGAAAATCAAACACTGAACCAGAAGAACGAGATGTCTACACCATTTTGCCGAAAGATACAATTTCAATGATTCGTGAACCATCTGGCTTCAAACCGGTTAGCTATAATGATGAACCGCATAATTTTGATTTGGATACAACGGTGGTCACAAAAACACGACCATATGTACGTGTTATGAAACGACCATTTTTGCCAAGCCGTGGCGGTAGCCCATATTTACCGCGTGGACTAAAAGCAGTTGGAGCTGGCTTCACAACATCTGATTATACAACCGAAAGTGCACAAATTCATGGTACACCAAAATCGGCGCAAGCAGCAGCTATTGGTAATGTACAATTATACGGTGGCCATCAATTACCAATATCACGTACAAATAACGCCCCTTATGGTGTCGGACATCAGCCACAACAAATGCATCCATCGAGCATTGCAAATGATTTACGAACAACAACACAACAACCACAAATCGAATCGCCACGCAGTCCGCTTGATGAAATTTTCAACAGTGAAAATGACTATGATGTGACATTGAATGATGCTTTGAATCCAACATTGAAGCCACTGAGCCATGAATCACCGATTGGATTTTCTCTAAACAAATACGATCGCGCCAATCCATATGCACGTTCTGATGTATCACATGCACCATCGCAATATCGATCAACTGCCATTCCCATTCGACAAGCACCGCAAACAATGCAACAACAACACCAGCATCAGCAACAACCATTGCCACAACCACAGCCACAACAACAAAATCAACAACCACAACAGCGACCGCCTCAACAATCTCAATACTATGATGATGAATACGAATATTAGGTGACAATCAAAAAAATAAACATAAAAATAGATCCAAACGTATGAACAAAAGAAATAAAGCGAACGAACAAACAAACAAAAAATCTTTCAAAACAAAGCAATTTTAATTTATGTTTTAGGATTTAAAAAATGGATTTGAAATTTGTTAGAAACAAAAATCAAAAGTAGAAAAAAAAAACAATGAAGCGACTAAATCCATATGATTAAATCAAAATGCGAAATCAATTAGAGAGATAAAGAGAGAGAACAGCATAGGAGTATTTTTCACACTAAAAAAGCCGTTGTCCCGTCCGTTTGTGTAAATATTTTTTAAGACAATTTCAAAGCGTGAACGAGAACGAAAGATAGAAAGAGAGGGGATTTTTTTTTTAAAACAATACTCAACCAAGGTGATAAACGATGTATCGTAAATCGTATGTAATAATATTTTTTTTGTTTTAAATTTGCGGTGCAATTTGTTAGTGCGAAAGAGATACGTCGAATGATCGCATAAAGAGTAAAAAAAAAAAAACGAAACTATATTGAAAGAATATAGGGCAGCAGCGATGGAAATAATGATGAAAATGAGAGAAAAAAATGTATACAAAGAATTTGTGTTGCTATTTAAGATGCGCAAATCGATAAAGTGCGATTCATTGTGTGATCGTGCGCTCAACCAATAAACTGAAAACAATAGAAATGTAAAATCTAATGAAACGATGGACGATATAAGTAGACGTAGAGGATAATGTAATAATATTTAATAAAAAGAGGAAAAAAACAGACAAAAAAAAACTCTTCTGATCAACAGGCATTTTCTTTTCTTTTTATTTAGTTTTTTAATCAGACACGTGAGAAAGCTAATTAAGGTAATTTGAATTTAATCACCTATTTTGGAGGATGTTGCTGTTATTGTGGCTACACTTTTTTTACACAGAGAAAATTAAACCAATTTTTAAAAACATGCACATTAAAAAAAGAGCAATCAACCATTTTCTTGTGCATAATTTACTTTTAGTAATAATAATATAACATAACGAATGAACAACAAAAAAAAAAAACATAAAATTATTGCTGTTGAGTTGAATTGCCATTCCATGTGTTATTTTCATCATCAGAATCTTTAGTATCGCTTAAACGATGAATATTCGAACCAGTGCCGCCGACTCTTTTGTATGGGCCACCCTGTTGTTTTGAATCAACTGATGCCGTTGACGTTGATTGTTTATCAAATCGAAGAATACGTTTTTTGGCTCTGCAAGAGAAAAAAAAAGAATCGAATAATTATCAAAATTATCATTGCAAAATGAAGATATGAAAGTGCCTCTCTCCCTCCCTTCCTACGAAAACAAAAACCGCAATACTAACTGTTCATTATGGTTGAGTTCTTCTTCGTTGGCCCGTTTTGCAGTACCGGTTTCGTTGCGATTGCGTGAAAATATCAAATTTTTTGCATAACTAAAAGCGGCTAGCATTGGATTGACCAGTCCCCAAAAGATTGTTGTTAACATTGAGAAAATGCCATACGTTGTTGTTAACGGTAATTTGTTATTCGAAGTTTTATCCAATGGTAAAATGAGAATCACCGATGATGGTACCAAACCTAACTCTAGTAAACTTTTTGTATTATCATCAGCATTGAATTCATGACGTGGAAATGTTGTGGCCATTGTATATTGTCTTATCGAACTGGCCGAAATAATGTTCTCATCAACATATGATCGAACTACTGAGAATTGTACATCTTTTTCGAATGTTTTAACATCAACTTCACCGTCCGGTTTTTTAAATTGAATACGAGCAACCGCACTGTCCGACGCAATTGGTTGTATGGGATTGGATGTGCTTGGTGTTTCTTCTGGTTTTGATGTTGGATTAACATTCGCATTGAATCGTTGTGCTCGTTCAGCTTTATCAAGTGCAATTTGTTCAAGAATTCGTTTACGTGCAGCTTGCTCTTCAATTTTATCGCGTTTTCGTTCTTCTTGTAATTTTTTCATTTCGCTTTCCTCTTGACGTTGCTTAAAATTTTGTAAATCTTGACCCATACGTCGACGATTCAATTCACGCTCTTTGGCCAACTAAAATGATATGACAAACTTCCAATATTGAATAAAAAACTAATTTTCAATCAAATTTAATTCGACTTACGCGCGCATCTTCTTCTTCTTTTGCAATACGTTTTCTCTCAATGAGTTCTTTTGCGCGAGCCAATTTCTCCTCATTTGTCAATTGTGAACCATTACTGCTATCGCTCGATGTTTCACCGGTAGAAGAGGTGACTTCCGTTTCATTTTGCTTGGGACGCTTGTAACAAACGCCATTCTCACACACCACTTCGGAATCTTCATTCGATGCTGATTGTTCGTCTGAAATATTTCATAAAATTTATGTATCTTATTGTGGTAATGATTGTCGTCAATTTTTATTCCATCTTACTTGCAATGAGATCAGCCGATGCGGCAGCACTGCTTGCCGGCTTTGGTTTAACTCCATCTAATACACCATCAATTTTGCTACTTAGTTCATCAACTGTTTTTGTGACACCGGTGACTATTTCGATTGGAGCACCATTTTTTCCGATGAAAAACAATGATGGCAACGGCACTAATTTATCTACACACAGAAACAATAGAATCCATTTTATTCTATTCATTCATTGTTATGGTGTGAAACCTTACATATTGCGGCAAATTGCATGTATGCTTCGCTATCGCTCTGTACTTTAATGGCAACAAAGTCCTCACTTTCCAGTTTTTTACGTATTATCTCGTCATTTATAAGTTTTGAAAATGCTGTCGACATCTCATCATTACCTTTAATATATATATGTGTATATCGGTCAAAGTACAAAAAAATGCATGTTCAAATGAAAAGCTTATAAAAATGAGTAAAAGTGCAAACAAAAAATTTTGAAAATTATTCATGATGTTTCACATGCCAAATGTCATATGGATTGTTCTGGAGTGGAATATCATTGTTTGTATTTGTCCAAACCCAAAAATATGACGTGTTCAATTTACCTTCACAATAAACGACGAAAATGGAATTTTTTGCCTTTGACAAAGCAACCGCTTCGGCTATATTTCCTGCAAACCAATTCATTTCACTCACAATAGAAAAACTCGAATTTATCGAAAATTAAATGTTAATGCACTTATCACAATTCGTGTTTTTTAGTAATAACCACACAGGTTTTTGCTTTGTCTAATACAAATTCACAAGTAAATTGTATGATGTATAAGTGTCAATGTCAGCACACACACACACTCCTGTTTCAACCGAAACGAAGTTGCCTGCACTCAAGATTTTTGGATTGTGTCTCAACTGAAGAGAGCAATTGTTCAAACCATGTATTCGAATGATTTACAAACTAAACTTTAACAACGACTTTGGAAATTTAATTCAAAATAAATTTTTGCAAAGTGAAAATTTCATGGACATTTTTCATATTGCAAACAATGTTATTATTATTCTATACAAGTGACAGTGTAGATATTTGCGCGTGGATCTTTTATTATTATTCATTTTTTGAATTTCTTTTAAAATCATTTAAATGCTCGATATTTTCTTCAGCGTCAATCTAATTGTGCAGTACATATTCGTAAAATATACTGTTAATTTTTTTTTGCAAATTCATGACCGAAAAAAAGTCTATACTCTATCAAAAAGAGTGCGCAGATTTTATTGCCATTTCACTAATCGACCAGTATAAAAAATATGAACATATGCATAAAAAACTAATAAACATTATGCAAAATTAAGTGGTTAAAATATGGATTCAAAAAAAGTGTTGCATTTTAATTATCCAAAATAAACTATTTGCGAATACAAAAATGAATTCATAAATGTCCATTAGCTTTGCACTGACGCACAATCTGCAAGAATTCGATAACCCCTATCCCTTTTTTTGCATACATACACGTTGCAAAATAATCACATTAAAATCCCTTAATAGGTATGCATAATGTAGCGTTTTATTGTCATTTTATTGTTGATCGAGAGAAACAGGTTACATATTATTTATAACACATTTAATTTACAGTTAAATGAATTTTCGCTGCCAGTTAACACTGATGCATTTTTCTTCAGGGGGCGCAAATTAGTAACAAATATTATTATTATTGTTGAATTGAAATGCATATTGTATTGATTGATTTTATGTACAAATTGTTGTTGGTATGCGAGAAGCACCAGGCAAAAGGCACACAAAACCAGCGGCAACGGTGTGTGGTTAGAGATTTTGAACGCATTTGAAACCGAGCATGTGTGTGCATTGTCTCGAAATGTTTGGCTTGGGCTCGGGTGCAAATTTTGGGGTAAATAACAAATGAAATCGTTCCATTTGAAATGAATACTAGCGTGTATACGTGTCTCTGTGTGGTGAATATTAAAACGATTGGTTATGATTATTATTTGCATTTGTTCTATTGGAAATTTGCACAGTGTATATCATTGTAGATATGATACATTTAGCCAGATGTAAAAATGAGAAAAATTGCACATATACAGTGCTTGAGAAATAAAACTTGGCGAAAAAAGCTGCCGTTGAAAAAAATACACACATACGAAACGCGAGATGTAAATCAATGATATTGTATCGATATGCATACAAAATTTATATATAAAAAGCAATCAAATCAGCGTGGAGCGTTACAAATAACACTGCCGAGCCGCTTTGCAACGACTGATGGGGTGGTATTTGATCTGTTATAAATTCGACATTTTTTTTTTTGCTTTCAATCGAGATGAATTATTGGCGTTTGTGTGGCATCGCAAAGAAAAATCAAGTATTTTATTAAGCCCTTTTGCGAGATATTATGCGTAATCCATGATTTGTATATTCGAAAAAAGTGTATCAAATCTATTGGCATTATGACTATTTTGTCATGTTCTTAGAGCTTAAAATGTATGATAAATCGCCTTGAATTTTGTAAAAATGTAATTTGCGGCCCCGAAAATGTCACACTCCATCAATTGCATTATGTTCGCTGATGGTAATATCAATTTAAGCAAATTTTGCAACATATGGAGAAACTTTCTCTCTCTTACTTTGATGTGAAACATCACGCGCTAAAAACTTTGTCACCGCTGCTTGTGTACGCTCATCACTGTGGCTGAAAGAAATACATTTTAAATTTGAAAGAAAAACAAACAGTGAAATGCAGTGACTTGACTTTTAACACCGTTCCTTGATTGCACATATGATGGAAAATGACACAAAACGAACAGCGTAACAATGATATTTTTTGCATTGAATCAACCAATCGTAATCGGAACATCAAACGATCCGACGGAAAGTTGAAGTGATGAAAAAAGGCCGAATGACAACAATAACAAAAAAATGTACCAGAAAAAAGGGAGAAATCACACAACAACCGAAATTTCAACGAGACACAAAAAAATTGTTCAAAATTCTTTTGCATTCGAATTGATTTGATTTGTGTGTGTGTGTGTGCATGTGTAACTGCCTAGGTATCTGCAGTGCAGCAATTCTGTTTTTATTCATTATATTACTAAGTTTTATTCGACAGTATTTATTTTGTGTGATTGTTTCACTCATTTCATATGAAATGTAAATGTTGATTCTCAAAACGACCATCTAAATGCAGATTGTCTTCATCAGCCAAAGTATGCCAGTTTTCCGTTTATATACATATCCATTTCTATGCCGCATCATCACAACGTCCTTTGTAGTTTTATGTCATTGTTTCATTACACCAACAATCTGGTAGCGTCGTCGACTTTTAAACTAAACTAAACTCGAATGTGACGACACGACATTTGAAACACAAACTATAAAAAATAAATCATTCAAAAACATCACATTCTGTGTAATAACATTGTGGATGGCATATTATTTGATTAATTCATATTCATAATCAATTGAATTAATACTAAACCGAAAATATCGAAAGGTACAAATAACAGATGACCAAGTGAACATGATTTTGAATGAAATCACCCAAAAACATTTATCAAATGCAATTGAACATTTCGAGCATTATGTGCAATGAATTCAATTCAAGACACTTTTGTGCCAAAAAAGTAAAACCGATTTCAAAATAAGAAATTAAATGTGTGCGAATAAAATACACACAGTTTTCAACAACCATCTATTAGTATACTGTGTCTAGTATTATACTCTGTATTCATTTGAATCGGGAGCAATTTTGCCACAAACAAACTCTCAGCTCATGTACAATACAATTTAGACATTTATACCGACTTTTAATTTTTAATCAAAGTTGTTGTTTTTATTCCACAAGAAAACTTTCGTCAATTTCAAACTCAGCACAGTTGGTGCAAGCAGTTCATTTTAACTCGTAAACTGGTCATGAATTGTGATTCATTTTAATATCTGCAGGGAAATTTAATTAGAATTCAAGCAACAAAATGAATGAAAAACCGCATTTGGCAAAATGTGTAGTATTTTGCATATTATATAATCATCGTTCTTCTCTTGCTTTTACATTTTGATGTATACGTATCGCGTATCGTATTGTTGTTGAGCTGGTCCTTTTTTTGTGTCTTGATTGCATTTGGTTCTCATTTTGCCTATTCAACTACTCGCCAAGAAAGAGATTGGTGTCTGCTTTCGACTTTGTTAACGCATTTAGGTGCCATAATTCAAACGTTATGTTTCCAGAATGCCTGAAAGCGAAAAAGAACGAAAGAGATACAAATCCAAATTGCTGTTGGAAAGATCGGCGAAAAATAATTAAAAATTAGCATGATGGAACATTGTACATGATTTTTGTTATACTACACAACATACATAATAAACGAAAATAAATTGACATCGGGAAAACTGTGTGCATGCTACAGTAAAATATACATGGTGTAGATATTTCTATTTTTTGGTTCGAGTTGTTTGTAATGTTAATAAAAGATGCATTGCTACAATTTTCATGAAAATGTAAAAGCGCACCAATGTTTGCCTGCGTTGAGTTGCTTTTTGTTTACCGCACTTCCATTCGCTAAATATCTATTTTATTTTTAATCAAAATACACTTTTACCGAGGTCCTCCCCCATTTTGTCATTCATTGCTCAAATGGGTAACGTTACAAAGTAATACCATTAAAATGGCAATGGGAGCATTTAAAAATGAAGAGAGAGAGAGAGAGAGAGAAAGAAAGAGAGAACAAGAACGAGTAAGCAATTGTGGAGCATTAAGCACGGAAAAGAGCAACATACTCATTTCAACCGAAGTCAGTTTTAATCTGGAGCTAATTCGGTCATTTTCACTTTATGACTGTCATTAACAATGTCTCATACTCCCATTTTCCGTACGCAGCGCATAGTACTGTTTCCCATCAACTCATCCAATATCATTTCGTTGGTTGGATTCTTCTTCGTGGTGTTCGTTGTTACATAAACGAATTCAGTTTCATGTTGGCGATGAGGCAATATACATTTTAACAATCGCAATACTGCTGCTGCTGCCACCCCCGCAAAACACACATAAGCTTCGGCATTGTTTTTAATATACATAGACAGACAGAAAAAGTTATAATTTCCTTTATTCCGCGTTGTTTTTCACTTAATTTTCTGTCGCCTGACATCGCTTTCGACATTCACTCTTCAATATAACACCATTTCAAATGCGAATGCGCTTCGTTTCGTCAATTTTTCATATATCACAGCGGACGGCAGTTCGCGCGAGTGACGAAATCACATTAGTGTGTTGAAAAGTCGAACTCGCTATATATACACGTAATATAAGAAATTCAGACCTAGAAGACCGTTGGCCCCGGTTGATGTATGGTTGGAAAGCCCTTGTTGAAAAGTTTGAAAATCGGTTCACCTGTCGTCAAAATATGGTCATTTCAAGAAAAGGGTCAAAATTCAGTTTCATGACCATAGATGGCACTAAATGAGGTCATTGACCCCTGAAACATTGATATTCAAATTCTAAAGCTCAATACCATTCCAACAATACCTCAAACGTCGAAATCGGTTAATCCGTTCGAAAAATTTATTATTTTAAAAATTTCATATGAATTTCTATGAAAAATCAAAATGTCTGTCTGTCTGTGCGCAGTTTTGCGTACTCGATTCTGATCTTTTTGAAACTTTCTTTGATTAAAGTACACAAAAAACTAAGACTTTTTTGTTCCGGAACTTTTCGATTTGGCCGCCATGTTGGCCGTGGGTGGCCTGCAAAAGTCACTTTTTGACTTTTGTCCCTACGGTCACTGGGTTGCCTCCATGTGACACACTCCGGACATA